TGTTTGTGCAACATATAGATAAAATTTATTTATTTGCCTTTATTGTTTGGTATATTTTACTGTATATAGCTACTAGTCTTGTAGAAATCTTGCAGAACACACTGTAAATCCTACAGGAAAATGATCATGAAAGTCCAGTGTGGTCTTGAAACTAAATGAACTGGGAGTATGAGCGTCAAGACGTGAGATAAATAAATATTTAACATAAATAACATAAAAAACATACCACAAACAACGTATACAAATATGGAATTAAGTAAATTGGCGATGAGAAAAAAAGTCACAAGTTAGACAAAGTTTCTTTGTTTATATTGTTCATTAGAAGTAAATACCGTCCATTATTGTCTTGATGCGCCTTTTCTCTGAAAACTGTCTGACAAAACAATAACCAAAACACTGATTTCTGTAATAATGGCCTAATTAATTAACCGCACCTGCAGTTTCAGACGTGCGTATGAGTCTATGCAAGGTCTACAAGCGGATAAGCCGCGAATCGGCAACAGGGTAGCCTGCTAAGTGTAGAGCTGCACGGAAAACATTATCACCAACTAGCTAGCTAGCTAGCTACCTGGCTAGGTCAGCTTAGCCTTAGTGAACAGACGCCGACACATTACTTCGTTTTATTACGCACCACTTCAAAATCCCTCAAATGTTTTTTCTTGACAAAAACGTAAATAATCCTGAGTTGTCCTCATGAATAAACTCTGTTAGGACGAATACTAACGTTATAAAACTCGCTAACCTCAATCTGATGTTGGGCTGTGATTCATTCTAATTTGCCGTTCCTCTTTAAATTATGCAGAAGTACTATTCTGACGCCAGTAAGTTACATGCGCCATAATGTTACAGCTGTGGCATTTAAGGTAACGTTAGAAAGGAAAATTCGAATGAGAAGCTAGCCACCAATGCTAACGCACCTACCTAACCAGGAGCGCGACTGCTCTTTTTACTCACCGGTGTTGTAGACATGCAGCTCGTCCACAATTCCCTCGTTTCCTCCGCCGAACACCACCATGAGCTCTTTGATGGCCACGGCTCTGTGTCCATGCCGGGGGCGGGGGACGGGTCCAGACCAGCCCAAGACCCGCTTCCAGCGCGGCGCCAGCGGGGCAGCGGCCGAGCCTGAGAGCGCCGAACCGGTGGACGACATGGGGTCTCTCTGTGTTGGAAAATACCCACACTTCGGCTCAAATACTCACCAATATGCAACTCATACTTAAGCTGCAATTCATAACATACCAGATTTTACCCGCTTTAATAAAAATTTGCATCTGTGTTGTGGTATGTGGTTAGCAGGCTAACGTAAGCTAACTAGTTAGCTATCTTGAAATCAAAATACAAGTGAGCGAATACGAGCCCGGCTAATCTAAACTGTATAGCAAATACAAAGTTAGATAAAGTTGTCACAAAAGAAAACCGTAAAATCCTTAAGTGCAGCACCTGTGTGTCAAAAAAATAAAACAGTTTTGGAAAAATAGCAAAAGTATGGACAATCTATGGACGTCGCCATCTTGGGACAACAAGCCATAAAGCGCAAAAAGCTACTGCAGAAAATGTGCAAAACGGCTATAAGCTCACATGAGCTGTTAAATAGGTGTTCGGTACATATGTTTTAAAAATCGGCTACTTGCATCTCATCCTCCGATTAAAGACCATTAATGCCAGAAAGTATCAGTCCATGTAAGTCGCCATATTGAACCAAAAACAGCGGGGTGTAAAATAATAAACATCAGCAACTCAAGCGCACATTAGATACACACGGGCACTCATCAAATCATTAAAGCAGTGCAAAATAATAATACTCAGCACCCCATAACATGCATGGCACACTAAAATGCGGAAAGGAGAAAAATAGGAAATCCAAACCATACAGAAAGCTATTTTCATGCCTCTCTGCTGGGAGTCGCCATCTTGTCATCGAAAAACTCAGACCAGAAACAACAGCAACTTTAACTAATTGTGATCAAACATAAATGCACGGTACAAGGCTTAGAACAGAGTGCAAATTATTTCGTCCAAGAATGCTTTGAATGTCTGAAAAGATCGCGCACACATGCAAAAGCAAAGCTGCTTTCATTCTATTAAAGTTTTATCTCTGTACAGCCCTGCAGCTCAGCTTTGCTGTTCTGAATTTGGGCATCTTACATCAGGAACCCAGTATAGAATAAAGTCCATAAAACCTCACTGCAATGAGCAAACGCATCTGCATCTTTATTTTAATTTTAATCCATGCTACGCCGATGCAGGCAGCCATCTTGTAGACAAATACAGCCCACCTTGCAGCTCCCACAAGAAAAATGGCGGCCAGAAAAACACACGGTTGATGTCTCTTTCCTTCGTTTTAGCAAAATGCATTTTCCCCAAAATACATACTTGATTTGAGATGCAGCGTTCAGACACGTCTGGATTGTCTTGTTTCGAAACGGCAGCCCAGCTTCATCCGATTTTTTCAGAAGTATCCACTCTCATGCCTGCCTGGAAGCCGCCATGTTCTCGACAGCGAAGAACGAAGGTTTTTTTTCCACCTGTATTCCGACAAGTCCCACCTTTCTGCGCCAGGATTGGCTAATAGTTCATACTTACAAGCAGTCAGTCATGGACGTATGATCTAGAGGCAAATCCTTGCCAAGGCGCGGGGAAAATAGTTGCCAATCACGGTGCAGGAGGGCGAAACGTGTCGGAATACGGGTAGTGAAAAAAACCCGCGCACTCCCTTAACGCGCCCACCACAGACATGGTGAACCAAGACTTAGTGTTAGCATTTGATGCTAAAGTACGAAATAACCTCTCGATATAGCTTAGTACAGTTAATATTATTCACCAAAATAACTAAAAATAGCATATACATTATAAATCGCATCGATACACGCATCAGTATCAAGTAGAAAAGACAAAAACAATTGATTATTTCCTTTTTAAAGTCAGGGAAGCGGCTTATTGTCCCTCAGTAAAGATGGCGACATTTACAAATCAGTATTTATCAGTGTTGGTGGACTGCGGTTTTTGTATTTTTGGGGTTCTTCGTCATGTGATTTTGTTGACTACATCCTTTTATTTACTAAAGTAAATAGGCTGAAAACTTAACCACCAGCGCAAGGACAGCAACTTTAAAGAGATTTAAATACGCCTTTTTCAGTGACAAACGCCCCCATTCGGTGCAGTTTTAGCTCGGCGCATTCCAGGTGCCTCATTAATAAAACGTGCTTAAAGATGAACTCCAGTGTCAAATTTCATCCAATGACATTGTGTTAAATAGTTATTTAAATTATTGCGTTGGTAAATTTGATCACATGGACGCGTCTACACTGTGTAAAGATGTTGCCCTATAAAATGTTATAGTAGATCTTATTGTAAAATGTCTTGCTCTATTAGTACAGCTCTACTGAAACATTTACTAAACATGAACTACTACCACGTTGCAAAGTAAAGTCCATGTTATAAAAAAAACTACTATTTTATTATTCCCATACCATTGATTAAATCTATTGATATAGATAAACATTTGTGATGTCACAAAAAACACAACTGACCATTTTTGCGGCATAGAAAAAAAACTACAGTATGTTTACTAGACCAACAACCATAGCAAGGTTATAAAATTAAATGCGTGAAACATGTCCAAGCAATGGCAATACAGCAAGTACATGAAATGGGAAACCAAAACAAAAATGAATGTTTAGCCTGTCATAGTTTTCCCAGTTAACATATCTACCCCTTAAAATGACACACAGCAACAGAGGTATGTTATGACAAACATATAATAACACCTACTATAGGCTCATATATTGCTGTTGTCAGAAGAAAACCTTGTATCACCAAAATGATAACTTTACAGGAAAAGGAAAAAAATTGTTACTTTTAATGTAAGTCAATGGAACCAGACTTTTTTCTAAGTCATTTTGGTTCATTTCTTTTGGTCCATTTTTCATGAAATTTACACACAATGTAAAGGGCAACAGGCATTTTCAAATTATGTAAAAAACTGAAAAACGTCAAAAATGGAGACAGGAGTTGTTCTTCCGATAGCAGCAATATGCACTACTGTTCAAAAGCTTGAAATAACATTCTAATTCACTACCCCTGTGCAACTTTATAGGTTTCAAATAATTATTATTATAAACTTAAAACTATATATATATCATCGCTCAATGAATCAACATCACTGCTTGTTAAGAAACTATTTTTAAATCAGCGCACAGCCTGTAAAGGCATACTATAAAAAAGAACTCAAAAATAGCTTTTTTACAAACACTGAAGATCCTGCTAAAGCCTGAGCAGACTGATAACTCTGTGATGACTCAGTTATTCTGTGTTTTAGTAAACTCTTTTGAGGGATGACTGACCTGAACAATATCCTCAGTAGAAAGTTACATAGCATTCTGTAAAAAATGCTAAAAAAGTAAAAAATGTGAGATTTTGTTATTGTGACATGGTGAATTGTTGGCTTAGGTCATGAAAAGGCAATAGGATTATGGGAGCAACAGTGGAATGAAGCAAGCAATGAGAGCCAAAAGAACACTGAGAATTTTGTATCAATTTGAAATGATTTTTTCATGAAGCATATTAACAGAAGAATTACATGAACAAATCTGCCAACCAGTTACAGTGGGGAACAGTGTTAATTAAGTGAAAATTACAGCAGAGTTTTTCCCATGTGCCTTATCAGTATGTATTCTAAATGTATTCTAAATGTATTCTGAATACATCGCTTTTTCATGTATTGTTAAGAATACGTTACTGAATACATTTAGGATAGTGTATTCAGTATCCAACCATCACTACTTTTTCAAAGTATTTTGGCCAACTCTCTCTGATGTGTCTGGGAGTCGAGATCAACTCTTGACCAACAGCTTGAAGACCTGAAATGCTTGGAGTCTACTGTGCTCAAGGGACATTTTGACAGATGTGTGTGTAATACAGAAAACAGTTTGAGTAGCAGTAGTTTGTTTAATTATAGGGCTGCATGTAGCTGCAAGAATGCACAGCTCCCTAGTGCATAACAGCATTCTCCAGCCCATAACTATGAAAGCTTCAATTAGTCTCCAGCACCACCACACTGAACACCAGCACTCCCCAGGGCTGTGTGCTCCATCCCCTGCTATTCACATATTTGACTCATAACTGTGCTGCAAAGAGTAGCTCAAATCACATCATCAAGTTTGCTGATAATACTACTGTGGTCTTATCAGCAACAATGACGAGTCCACATACAGGGAGGAGGTGGAGGGAGAGCAGCTTGTAGACTACATCAACTTGAGAACTCCAAGTTCCTTGGTGTGGACATCACTGGCTATCTCACTTGTACCCTTGTAGGCACTCACTTGTAGACCCCAAGTTACGAAGGTACAAAAATAAGACAACTTCACAACACAGTCATGGAGAGATATGCATGGCCACATAAGCTCTCTACCACAGCAGGCTGCTCACCCCCACACAGAGGCAATGCTCCCCTCCACAAGAGGGCAGCTTTGCTCCACCTGTTGCACTGAGGTCTCCAGTACCTGCACTTGCGCAGGTAAAAGGAGTACTGGGCATGTGTCTTTTGCATCACAGTGAGTGCTCAGAACTGTCAAAAAGGGGTACAAACTCCAGTTCTCACCCCCCCCCCTCAATTTTCAGTATATTTGAAAGCGACAATGCAGTCTGCTTTTTCGAAAGCAAAAATTACCTCTCTCTGAGACAAAGGAGTGATTCAACTGTCATCCAAAAATATTACACAAATAAATTGTGTTCAGTGTGTGAAGGACTTTAGGCTTCACATGACCAACAACAGAAAATAAGTAACTACTGCTCTGTGCTGTATGTTAAGAGGCCTTTTTTAAGTAAAACTTTGAAGTCAAACCAATTATGCCATCAGTTGAAGGCTAAATAAATATGCATCTAAACCTATTGTCCTGAGACAGACCTCCTTTAGCAATTTTCATTTCTACGGCATCTCATCCAGCACTTGGTAACTGCCAAACAACATCAGCTAAGTCATTAGGTGATTTATAAAATTTTCAGTTATTTTTTATTTATAAAAACATAATAGTGTTTATTATGTTGCATTATGTTAACAAACAGAATTAACTATATTGACTATACTCCACTAAACCTCACTGTCACTCTACTATAACTCAACTTCTATATATTTCACTAAACCTAACTTTCCTAAATCTCTTCTGGTTGTGTTTTATACAAGCTCCTCCCCTGTTTTTTTTCTCTTGTCTCACTGTAATCTCCTCCCATTTCTCCTCCCTCTTGTAGAGCTACTTGATCTGTCGCTGACCGGATATCTTCTATTTAAATCTGTTACACAACTGAAAATCAATGTTTGACCTATTTCCGGTGGGTAATTGCCTATTGCTTAATCTGTACACTAAAGAAGTGATGCATTGTCAACATTCTTTTTTTAATAATTGTGTTTATATTTTATTCATGTGGAAATGATCCAAACATTTGTAATGAGTTAGTTCAATGCATTATGTTTTTCAATTTTAGGAAACAATGAAATTATTATTGCAGCGAATTATGTGTTTGCACTGTAGACCCCAAGTTACCAAGGTACAAACTGTTGTATACATCTATCTTTAAATTCTTACACACAGTGAAAAGGAAGTATGTCATGCTTTCTTTTTATTGTTTACTTGTTGTGGATGAATAAGCATAAAACAGATTATGAAAAAAACAGTTCCCTGAATAACATCTTTTCTAGGTTTTTTTAATATGCTTGGGTTGAAAATGATTTAACCTGTTAATTTTACCTCAACTAATTCAATTTATTTTACACCCATATCATACTATGGTCTAATGAATGCACTAAGAATAGAAATCTCAGGTGTTTACTAACATATTCATATTAGTTAACAGTAACTGTCCTGTTGCACACAAACAAACAAATCAGCTCTATCTCACTCGAACTGGCTTTAAATCCTCTTTAATCTGTTGTAATAAATAAATCACAGGCTGCTAGTAGAGTAAATGAAGTTAGCTCATGTAAGTCAGTACTGGGGCTTTATGTGTGTTTTTGATCAAAAATATTAATTGGAAGTTTGGAGGAAGTCATTCTTATGTTCATCTGAATGTTTTGAATCTGTTCCCATCTCACTGCAGGAATGTGTGTGTTTTTAAACTTTCAAATAATTAAAAAGTCAGACATCACTGATATCAGCTGTGTTTTTGATTACATCTTGTCATGTTCAGTGAATAATAAAAATGGTATAATAATGATAAATTGACAGAGGCTATCTGACAGCTTATCATTAATAATTATATTTTCTTATCATGTTATTTCTTATAATAATATTGTAAGTGTTGGGGATTGCACCCCACCAATTCCACCAATGGTGCATATTCTTTTTTTTCCAGCCTTTTTTGTACAACCCCAAATCAGAAAAGAAGTACGTATGTTTAATTAATATTAAAACTGACAACAGTGATTTATAAACAATTTTTGACCTGTATTACATTGAAAAACGATACAAAAGCACATTATTTGATGTTTTACCTCATGACATGCTT